TCAGTCTATAGCCTTGAGTATAGTTTAGTCTATAGTCTTGACTATAGTTTAGACTATAGTTTAGTCTGTAGTCTTGACTACAGTTTGGTCTATAGTCTTGACTATAGTTTAATCTGTAGTCTTGGCTTTAGTTTAGTCTATAGTCTTGATTATAGTTCAGTCTATAGTCTTAACTATAGTTTAGTATATAGTCTTGACTATAGTTCAGTCTATAGTCTTAACTATAGTTTAGTCTATAGTCTTGACTATAGTTTAGTCTATAGTCTTGACTATAGTTTAGTCTATAGTCTTGACTATAGTTTAGTCTATAGTCTTGACATTAGTTTAGTCTATAGTCTTGACATTAGTTTAGTCTATAGTCTTGACTATAGTTAATACTATAGACTAGACTACAGTTTAGTCTATAGACGAGACTATAGTTTAGTCTATAGATTAAACTATAGGTTTAGTCTTTAGACTAGACTATAGTTTAGTCTATAGACTTGTCTGAAGTTTAGTCTATAGGCGAGACTATAGTTTAGTCTATAGACTAGACTATAGTTTTGTCTATAGTTTAGTCTGTAGACTAGACTATAGTTTAGTCTATAGTCTTGACTATAGTTTATTCTATAGACTAAACTATAGTTTAGTATATAGACTAGACTATATTTTAGTCTATAGACGAGACTATAGTTTAGTCTATAGACTATAGTTTAGTCTGTAGCCTTGACTGTAGTTTATTCTATAGACTAGACTATAGTTTAGTCTATAGACGAGAATATACTTTAGTCTATAGACGAGACTATTGTTTAGTCTATAGACTAGACTATAGTTCAGCCTATAGACTAGACTATAGTTTAGTCTATAGACGAGACTATAGTTAAGTCCATAGTATTGTCTATAGTCTTCACTATAGTTTAGTCTATAGTCTTGACTATGCTGTAGTCTATAGTCTTCACTGTAGTTTAGTCTATAGTCTTGACTATGCTTTAGTCTATAGTCTTCACTATATTTTAGTCTATTTTTTTTTACTATAATTTAGTCTATAGTTTTGACTATAGTTTAGTCTATTGACTAGACTATAGTTAAGTCTATAGTCTTGACTATAGTTTAGTCTATAGTCTTGACTATAGTTTAGTCTAGTCTATAGTCTTGACTATAGTTTAGTCTATAGTCTTGACTATGCTTTAGTCTATAGTCTTCACTATATTTTAGTCTATTTTTTTTACTATAATTTAGTCTATAGTCTTGACTATAGTTTAGTCTATAGTCTTGACTATAGTTTAGTCTATAGTCTTGACTATAGTTTAGTCTATAGTCTTGACTATAGTTTAGTCTATAGTCTTGACTATAGTTTAGTCTATAGTCTTGACTATAGTTTAGTCTATAGTCTTGTCTATAGTTTAGTCTATAGACGAGACTATAGTTAAGTCCATAGTATTGTCTATAGTCTTCACTATAGTTTAGTCTATAGTCTTGACTATGCTGTAGTCTATAGTCTTCACTGTAGTTTAGTCTATAGTCTTGACTATGCTTTAGTCTATAGTCTTCATTATATTTTAGTCTATTTTTTTTACTATAATTTAGTCTATAGTTTTGACTATAGTTTAGTCTATTGACTAGACTATAGTTAAGTCTATAGTCTTGACTATAGTTTAGTCTATAGTCTTGACTATAGTTTAGTCTGTAGTCTTGACTATAGTTTAGTCTATAGTCTTGTCTATAGTATAGTCTAAAGACTTGACTATAGTTTGGTTTATTCTGTAGTCTAGACTACAGTTTAGACTACAGTGTAGATGACAGTTTAGACTATAGTCTAAAAGACGACAGTCTATAGTCTGGATTTTAGTTAAGTGTAAATTATAGAATATTCTATAGTCTTGATGATAGTTTAGTCTATAGTTTAATCCAGTGATTAAAATTACTAATATATTAGTAACCAAAATGCATATTTTCTCCTATGCATACGTATGTAATATTAAAATATAAATATATTTTATGAATATAATATATTTAATTGCTCCCATTCGAAATATTTCTAGTATTTTTGCTAAAAATATTTACCCATACAAACTATTGCATATTACAGCTTACAGACAAATATAAAATGTTTTCACTTACAATATATTACGCAGCAACTCGCTAACATATTTATAATACCCACATATATTTCATATGGCTTGCCTATAATATTAAAATATTTTCCTACACAAATTATTCGCAGTCAACAATATTGAAGCCATGCGAGCAGTAATATACGAACATGAAATGTACGCAAGCAGAGCATATATGTGCCGACGAAAACACGAAACAAAACGATAGTCGCGACTATCAGGTTACAATATTTTTACTATCAAACTTAAATATTATTTACTATAGGAAATGACTTATGGTCTAAAATTTAACATTTCATGTTGAACTTGAAAAATTATAAAATGTGAAAAATGTATGCAAGATATAACCAAATTTTATTTAGAAAATAATTGAAAACGTTTATATCTATGTATGTTTTATGTATATAATGGGAAAAATGTATGCATGAAATAACCAAATTTTAATTAGAAAATTTTTGAATTGAATTATTGAATGTATGTATTTATTAAATTTATGTTTAATTTTTATGTGGAGTATTAAAATGTATGTATTTGTATTGATTGTAATATAATTAGAAAAAAATTATATAAATACTTAGAGGATCATATGAATGTAAAAATATATTCAAATATGCAACACCATTTATATCTGGTTTTGTATATACATATGTATGTATGTAAGTATGTGTGAAACAATAACAAACAAGTAGGAAAGTATAGTCGGGCATGGCCGACCATATAATACCCTACACCATGAGTATATTTTAAAAATTTCAATTTTTCACAAAGAAACTTTTATGTTGAATTTTACCTTAATTCCAAAGTATTTAAGCAATTTATTGATAGAAAACAAATTTTCTAAATGAGGCTTTATATAGGAGTATAGGTCAAACATGGGCCGATCCTCACTAAATTTGGGAAAAGGATATATTGTTAAATAATAGTTAATTATGTTGAGTTTCATTGCGATACAAATGGTTACAAGTCAATTTTAGACGTTTAAGACATTTTTTGATGGGGGGTTTGTATGGGACCTAGGGTCAAATAAGGGCCGATCATTACGAAAATCTGCAGTGTCATTTATACTTATATAAAACTTATTTGTGCCAATTTTTAGAGAGATAATAGCATATTTGACGTAATTATGGCATAAAAAGCCCAAATCGGGAGGTACGGTTGTATGGGGGCTAGGTGAAATAATGGACCGATTTCAACCATTTTCAATAGGCTTCGTCCTTGTGCCAAAAAACATGCTTGGTCCAAATTTCATCAAATTATCTTGGAAATTGCGGCCTGTACCTTGCGCACAAGGTTTACATGGACAGCCAGCCAGCCGGACAGACGGACGGACATGTCGGTATACTTAAAGGTGGGTGTAGGACCAATATTTTTGTGTGTTACAAACATCAGCACAAACGTATAATACCCTCCCCACTATAGTGGTGTAGGGTATAAAAACACATTCGTCATAAAAATGACCTGTAACAGCACTTTTCTTTCCTACTTTTCACGCACATTCCATAACGGTGGATTACGATAGGTCATTTTTTCCCTGAATTGGTGGAGGGAAGAAGATATGTACGTGTGATGCAAAAATACATTCGTCATAAAAAGGACCTGTAGTAGAAATTCTCTTTCCTACTTTATCATTTTACGCACATTCCTTAACGATAGTTTACGCAAGATCCTTTTTTTTTTGCTTTACTTTAATTTGTGGTGGGGAGAAGAGGAAAGAAATATCATTATTATTTAGTCTCTCTCATGCAAATTCAAAAGGTTGGCAATGGCATATGCAAATTTATTAACACCTATATATTTTTTTCTTCGCGCCTGTTCATTCATTATTGTAAGATAATTGAGTGTATGTAATAATAATTTATAGAAATGTGACACATGCATATGAAAAACATACTTGTATATGTATGTAATACACTCATACATTTTTGTTGTTTTAACCTTTCACAATGTAAAATTACAAAAACAACTTTTTATGTCCCTCTTAATTTTTTGCCATCCTTTTACAAATTTCTAAAATACCTATAATTTCCTTCATTATTGATCATTTCATAGACACTACTAATGCATTACTACCTGTTTACAAACTTATTGTCATCCTGTTACAAACAATATGTTTAAATATAGCCTGTAAAAACAATTTTTTACATATATACATATTTGAATATATTTTTACATTCATATGATCCTCTAAGTATTTATATAATTTTTTTTAATTATATTACAATCAATACAAATACATACATTTTAATACTCCACATAAAAATTAAACATAAATTTAATAAATACATACATTCAATAATTCAATTCAAAAATTTTCTAATTAAAATTTGGTTATTTCATGCATACATTTTTCCCATTATATACATAAAACATACATAGATATAAACGTTTTCAATTATTTTCTAAATAAAATTTGGTTATATCTTGCATACATTTTTCACATTTTATAATTTTTCAAGTTCAACATGAAATGTTAAATTTTAGACCATAAGTCATTTCCTATAGTAAATAATATTTAAGTTTGATAGTAAAAATATTGTAACCTGATAGTCGCGACTATCGTTTTGTTTCGTGTTTTCGTCGGCACATATATGCTCTGCTTGCGTACATTTCATGTTCGTATATTACTGCTCGCATGGCTTCAATATTGTTGACTGCGAATAATTTGTGTAGGAAAATATTTTAATATTATAGGCAAGCCATATGAAATATATGTGGGTATTATAAATATGTTAGCGAGTTGCTGCGTAATATATTGTAAGTGAAAACATTTTATATTTGTCTGTAAGCTGTAATATGCAATAGTTTGTATGGGTAAATATTTTTAGCAAAAATACTAGAAATATTTTGAACAGAACCATTTTTTAAATATGCATATTTTTAAATATGAGGTAAATGCATATTTATTGCAAAGTCAAAAATAAAAATATAAAAGCATCTACTAATATTTAAACTCTGGTTTAATCCATAGTCTGGACTATATTCTATTTTGAAGACTAAAGTTTAGTATTTAGTCTGTGCTATGGCTTAGTCCATAATCTAGACTATAGTCTAGTATATTGTCTGTAGTGTAGTCTATTCTTTAATCTGAATCTATACTATCGACTAAACTATAGCTAAGTCTATGATATCGACAATTGTTTATTTTGTAGTCTGGACTTCTTGACTGGACGTAATTCTGAATCATTTCTCTTTTCTCTGGAAATGTTTAAAAAAGTTTAAACGAAAGTTTTAAGCCGAAAGAACCAGTCGAGTATATAGTTCTGTAACGATAGTTAACGAAAACTTAACCGCGAGAGTAGAAACTGTCTATAGGTTGACCGTTCTCTCTGCTAAAGCTTAAACTGTTAATAAAGTTGAGCTTTTTCTCCTTTTACATGGAAAGCTTTAAAGTATTGTTTGTTTAATTTAAACCTTAATTGTTTTTATTTTGTACAAATTGTTTTTTTTTTAACTTATTTGCAGGAGTTTTTTTTAATAATTTTCATTTTTGTTAGTTAAATAATACTAAATTGTTGTTGCTGTTGGTTTTTTTTTTACACTAAATACACACACTCACTACATTTAATACAATTAATATATAATTTTTCTCTTTTTTTTTTTGTTTATGTAAATTATAATAATTTTTCAATTTATCGTTAAATATATAAATTTTTATTTAATGATTTTATTATTTAGATAAATTTTTAATTATTTTTATTTTATTTGTTTTTAATCATTAGTAACAATACAACCAACACACCCTGTATACACCACCATTCAAAAGAAGACAAAAAAAAACAAAGAAAACTTAACTTTGTGTGTTTTTTTTAAGGTTTTCTTTTATATAAAAAACGAAAAATAAAATTAAAGGGAAAATGAGTTTCTTTGATAAATAAGAGTTTAATGCTTTTAAAGCTTTCTCTTTTTTCTTTTTTTGTAGACTTAATATAATACTCTCTTAACTAACTTACTGTTACTTACACATTAACGGTTTGCCGAGCTTTTGCTGTGTTTAGCCGTTAAATTTAAATATAAAAAAAATGTGTTTCGCTGTTTTATAATTTCGCTAACTCTTGCCAAAAAAAAACGAAAAACGTAAAAGGAAAATTATTATAAATTTAACAACTTATCTCTGAATGTTTATCCTTATAACGCTCGCTATAGCCTTGTATGGTAAAGGGCGGGGCATTAGCACCCACGCCCACTACCGGCGCTACAGCTGCACCCGGCTTATTTAGATTACCATTCATTTTATTAACATTCAGACCATTACTGCTCTTGTGTAAAATACTGCAGTTAAGCTTTTCACTGCCACTGCCCATCAGCAGCATGCTGTTGTTGGGCGAGCTGCCATTGCTGGGATCGCCAGCAGTGCAGTGTCCTTTCAGATTGCCCACCGAATTGGACATCATTTGAATATTGGCATACGAGGAGTGCTTATTATTAGGAGTTGTTGTAGTAGTATTTGTTGTATTTGTATTTGGAACTGTTACGGTATTGTTCAGACTCTTTGTTAAAGCGGCCGGATCTAAGGTTATACCATCCAGCTGGGATGAGAATGATAATGGCGGTTGTATGGTGGTCGGTGTCGGCTGTGGTGTATCCAAACTAATGAGTGTGGTCTCTTCGTTCGGATTCATTTGCGTAGACGCTGTAGTGCTCTGGCTATTGCCATTACTATTATGGCAATTGCTGCTGTTGTTATTGTTGTTGTGTATTGTCCTTAAGCCATTGGAAACAGGTGAACGCTGACTACTGCTGCTATAGCCACTAGTATTACCGGGACCCGGTGCACCCATTGATACGGTATTTATGCTTTTCTGTGAACCATTTGTTTGATTCAACAACGGTTGATCACTCTTCGAATTGGGCAATATAAACGAAGTCTCCCAACTGCCCTCATTATTCGTATTAAGACTCTGTTCGCAATCACCCTCTTTTAGGCCGCAACAAGGGGCCGAGGGTGAGGATACTCCAGGCGGGGTACAAACATTGGTTCCGGTTGATACGGCTGCCACCACAGGTGAATTTGTGTTGGTGGTTGCTTCGCTAATTTGCATTTCGCTGATTTGTTGCTGAGGATTGTGTGTTATCCCAGGCAAGGGGATTAAATAGTCTGATGTTGTGGGTACCTGTAGACAAATGTCATCGACTCCTTGCGGTCGTATTATTGTTTGATCTCGTTCATTGGAGGGCGGGCGTAAGATGTGTGGTAGTGGCGCATTCATAACAGCGGGATCCTATTAAGGAAAAGATATCAAAAATCAATCGTAAATTCTTTCGTTAAGAATTTTGTACTAAGTTAACCTTAGGAGAACAAAATTTCATACATTTTAATACAATTTCGCAAGAAAAGTTTCAAAGTACGATTTCCCAAAAAAAAAACTAAAAATTTTTCCAAGTGTAATATTTAAGCCGAGCACACGATTTTATTAAAACTTCTCAGGGATAAAGCCCAGGTATAGCAGAGTCCAACAACCCAATTTGAAACTTTTACAAGCACAAGAACCATGGCCAAAAACACCTAAAGTTGGACATACCAGGTAAATGAAACACTAAAGAAAGATAATTGGGAAATGTAACGGTTATTCTTAAACCCAGCAACCGATTTCCAATAAAAGGCCCAGAGTTTAAATTGAAAATATAAAGCGAAAAGCTTCATAAGAAGCGATGCCACTGGACCCTAAAGTAGAGCTCTTCAGCATTTGAAATAATACGAAAAGGAAGCCATGGAAATAGGAGCATTATTTCTAATAAAACGATTTTAATAAAACTTCTCATGACTAGAGCAGAGAAATAGTGCTAGGGAGATCCAAAATAGGGCACTTGAGCTCCAGAAAGAAATTTCAAAAGTAACAAAGAAAAGAACGGCATTATTCCTAAGCCGAGTGAGAGATTTGAATAAAACTTCTTACGACTAGAGAAAATGAGTACCAGAGTTTATGCTAAAGGTACGAAGTTCCAAGAAACGTTGTTAGAACGACTCAAAGTTCAGAACCGAGCGATCGATTTTAATAAAACTTCTCCTAATTAGAGCGAAAGTAACGCAAAGTTCAAATTTGGAAAATGGACCATATAGTATCACTACAAATGTCTGCAGAGAGACCTATAGTACAGCACTTCAAAGTTCTCTAAGCTTAAATACTTACCTCTGTTACGGCCTTTAGTCTCTCTAAAAGACTAGAGAATGTGGGACGATCTTCTGGTGTGGGATTCCAGCAATCGGCCATAATTTTATAAATTACCGAAGGACAGCCGGGTGGTGTACCCAAACGACCGCCATTGGTAACCAATTGCATTACCTCGGGATTGGGTAAACCGGTATAGGGCATTAAACCCAAACTGAAAACCTAATAAAAAAGGAAACAAAATTATGTTAATAACCTGAAATAACCATATAATTTTTCAATTTTCTCAACCCACCTCCCACAATAATACACCAAATGACCAAACATCTGTCTTGGAAGTAAATATACCATCGAGAAAAGCCTCTGGAGGCATCCATTTTATGGGCAGCATAGCCTTGCCACCCTTACGATAATAATCACTACGATATATATCGCGTGCCATGCCAAAATCAGCAATTTTCACCACACGCCCAGGACCTTTACTACTCAGCAGACAATTGCGCGCCGCTATATCGCGATGTATAAAACGTTGACTCTCCATATAACGACAACCCTTGGCCACATCAAGAGCACAGAAAACTAAATCTTTCATGGTTAACGAAGAGGGTCTATCGGGTTTGTGGCGTCCCTCACGCAAGAAATTCTTAAGATCACCACCGGCCAAAAGTTCCAACACTATGAAACGAGGATGACGATCAAAGCAAACACCTATTAAATGGACCATATTAGGATGATTAAATTTAGCCATAATGGCAGCCTCCATAAGGAAATCTTCCTCGGCCTGCAGCGTGGACATTTCGGGCAAAGTTTTAACGGCTACAGGCATTTCAACAGCATCACCATCACGATGACGATACAAACCCTGATAGACTTCACCAAAAGCACCCTGGCCCAAAGGTCTGAAAGCATAATATAATTAAAATAAGCAAAACTTAAAGAAATAACAAAACTTACTTCACCAAACGCAAACTTTCCCTTGCGACCTGAGGCAGACTTTGAACATTAATGGTGCCATTGATAAGATCATCACAGCCATAATTAGGATTGAAATTATTCAAGTTATTTTCATCCAAATTATGTCTTAAACGGGTCAATTGCATATCCTGTTGCATTAACATCTTATGACGCTGTTTGGCCAGTTTCTTGCGTTGATAGCGGTTGTCTGAAAAAAAAATCAAAACATTAAACTTTTTGCCCATAATTCCCCAGAACACACTACTTACATAACATCACAATCAAAGCCGCCAAACAGGCGATTAGCAAAAGCATTAAAACGGTAAAGAAGGAAATCAAATATTTCAAAGGTATAGACTCGGTTATGGGCACTAGAAAGGAAAACAGAACATATTAGATAAATTGTAAAAAAATCTCAACAAAAATTCTTTTCTTACTGTCACACGAAGAAGAATTATCCTTGCGTATACGCCAACCCTCAGGACAAATACATTTCACCGATGATCGATATTCATCCAAAGCTAAACATCTATAATCACAACCACAGCCCTCTATGGCGGGTATTATAATCACTGAACCTGCTCCCAAGTTAGAGCCCTCATATATAGCATTTAGTTCCTTTAAAGTGCGCGTTGTGGTTATATAAGAAGTGCCTCCTTCACCATTCGATTGATTGAGATAAACATCTCCTCCAGCATAACCGCCGCCACCACCTCCTGTATAACAACCTCCACCACCGCCACCAAAACCACCCTGACCATGACGTTTAACATTTGAGCCATTATTTTCCAGATCTACATAACAAGAAAAGCCACCACGTCCTCCCAACAAAAGAGCTGCACCAAATTTAGGATCTAAAGCCTGATCAATATTGGCACGCCAGCCCCCACCTGGACCCGCTATTTTCTTAGGTAAAGGCTCACCATTTATCTGGCCCGTTAAACCTTTACGTGCTGAATTATCCTTTTGGCCATGTTGGAAATCTTCATCTAAATAGCGTCCTATACCCAAACCACCACCACCTCCGGCCACTATTAAAGGCACAGCTTCATTGCGCGCTGAGTTCAACTAATAAAACAAATAATATCATATAGAAAACATGTTCTTTTTATAATCATAATTAAGCTACTCACACTTACCAAAAACACATAAGAAGCTCCTCCTCCTCCGCCAGCTCCATATTCCAAATTCATATTTTTCAACATGTGCTGTTTAGAGGTAAAACTGTATTTACTTAAATCCAAATCAGGATCACTAGAACCACAACCATCTTCCTTATAGCCCAAAGATTTGATGCAGGCATTTTCCCCCTGTTGTCCTACCAAAATATACAATTCCTCGTTTTTGTGCAATTCCAACACAGCCACTGCTACAGCACCACGTGAGGAACCCACACCGCCAGAACCCAAACCACCACTGGCTCCCTTGACTATGAAACTAAAATGTCAAGAATAGTATTATTTTATAGGTTTTATTACTAGATATTTGTTCTGAAACTTACGTATAGAAGCCCTCGTGCGGCACCTTCCATTTTTGCATTCCCTTATAGGGTATTTCATCCACTACTTTCACCTCTTTTAGTACTCGACTTCGATTGTGTGTGCTATAGTAGTGTTCACATTGCGATTGCGTTGGTCCTAACATGCCTCGATTATCACAGGTGCCCAGTTCCAGGTCTAAAAGGAAAGAGTAAAAGAATGTTAGTGAAGTGAATAATTAAACTAGAACTGAACTAGAACTGAACTAGAACTGAACTAGAACTGAACTAGAACTGAACTAGAACTGAACTAGAACTGAACTAGAACTGAACTAGAACTGAACTAGAACTGAACTAGAACTGAACTAGAACTGAACTAGAACTGAACTAGAACTGAACTAGAACTGAACTAGAACTGAACTAGAACTGAACTAGAACTGAACTAGAACTGAACTAGAACTGAACTACTGACTAGAACTGAACTAGAACTAACTGAACTAGAACTGAACTAGAACTGAACTAGAACTGAACTAGAACTGAACTAGAACTAGAACTGAACTAGAACTGAACTAGAACTGAACTAGAACTGAACTAGAACTGAACTAGAACTGAACTAGAACTGAACTAGAACTGAACTAGAACTGAACTAGAACTGAACTAGAACTGAACTAGAACTGAACTAGAACTGAACTAGAACTGAACTAGAACTGAACTAGAACTGAACTAGAACTGAACTAGAACTGAACTAGAACTGAACTAGAACTGAACTAGAACTGAACTAGAACTGAACTAGAACTGAACTAGAACTGAACTAGAACTGAACTAGAACTGAACTAGAACTGAACTAGAACTGAACTAGAACTGAACTAGAACTGAACTAGAACTGAACTAGAACTGAACTAGAACTGAACTAGAACTGAACTAGAACTGAACTAGAACTGAACTAGAACTGAACTAGAACTGAACTAGAACTAGAAACTGAACTAGAACTGAACTAGAACTGAACTAGAACTGAACTAGAACTGAACTAGAACTGAACTAGAACTGACTAGAACTGAACTAGAACTGAACTAGAACTGAACTAGAACTGAACTAGAACTGAACTAGAACTGAACTAGAACTGAACTAGAACTGAACTAGAACTGAACTAGAACTGAACTAGAACTGAACTAGAACTGAACTAGAACTGAACTAGAACTGAACTAGAACTGAACTAGAACTGAACTAGAACTGAACTAGAACTGAACTAGAACTGAACTAGAACTGAAACTAGAACTGAACTAGAACTGAACTAGAACTGAACTAGAACATAACTAGAACAAACTAGAACAGAACTTTTGAAAATTTTCAGATAAAACTTATACTTACAATTATGATTCGTAAAATCTTTATGCGTAGGACTTTTCGTATGACGAACATTCCAATAATTATAGCCATTCAAATGTCGGGTGGTATATTAATGCCAAAGCTATTCGGGGGACAAAGAGAAATCATCCACAGCCACATCGGAGTAAATGCGCATGCCCATGCGAGCCTCAAATTGCAAGTAATATCTTAAAAGAAACAAAGAATTAATTCAATACAATAATTTATATTAAAATTTCTCTAATTTTACCTTGAAGTTATATTCGGCAATATATATTCTGCTCTCAGCCAATCGGCGCCCTGATTCTTGGTACTCCACCATAAAGTCGTGGTAATATTTTCCTTTTCCTTCATTTCTACCACAGATAAATTTATGCTACCGGGATTTTTACCAAATTGATGTATATAAAAACGCACGACACAGGAGTTGCGATAGGGCGAATTGGGATCTCCATGCACCGTAGGTGGAGGGTTAAATGTGCGCGATATCATTATAGCATTACTAGCAAAACCGATTAAAGAACCTTTTTCACTATTATTGCTATGTTGATTCATGTTCACAAGCATGTAATAGCCCACGGTGGAATTGAGTAAATGCTGATAGGTATGATCACTATCGGGCCCGGTATCAAATGTAGGCGAAGAGCCGGTGTGACGCGACCACGATAATACCGTACGTCCCGAATCACGCCAGCCACACCAATCATTTTCAAAATCACATCTAGCTCCAAAGGGAATTTTGTCACAATTCAATAGCTCATCTTCGGCCTCATCACAGTCCCTTGTTATATCACATATCCTTGGTAATGGTATACAAACTGGCACTTTATTCATCATACATTTCACCTGGGAAGTGCTACACTTCTCAGCTTTAGCTCCTTCAGGGAAACAGTTAATCATTCGTAAATTATCAATGGCCACATGAGCCTTTTGACCCTCGAATAGTTTGGGCACGATTTCAAAGACTATTCGAAAATCACGAGAAATACGCCCCAAACGAAACACTTTCCTTTCCCATTGACTATAGTTATCACCAACAATTTCCGCTGGCACCCAAGAACTTTCTTGCGAATGTAAAGGTTCTACCACCACACGTGAAAGACCATGTGTCATGCCACTTTGATGCATATAAACTTCGAGAAAACATTTCTCCATGGTGGTGCTAAATTGTGGTGAAGTCAAATTGATTTGTAGCGTAGTGGGCGAGAGGCGGGCATATAAGAAATGTCCATTAGCATCATCGATATTATCGGCTAAGGGGCCGGGATATAAACCGGTCATATTCTTTTTCGAAACCTCAGTACCACTCATAATGTGAAAACCATCAGAGAGATTTTCTGTCCATTTCCAGGCACAGGGAGTTTCAAAGGTGCAACGCACTCCTAATAGGTCTTCAATGTCGGTATTAAATGTGGCCTCGGTATTGATGATATAGGGATTCTGTAAAGAGAAACAAATTTTGCGTTTAATAAAATTTAAAAATATTTGTTTAAAACTTTGTTCATCTTTGGACTTTTTTCTATGGATGGGTGTCTTCTTTAGACTCTAGTCTATAGTGTAGTCTATAGTCTAAATTATATTCTATAGTGTAGTCTATAGTCTGGTCTATAGTCTGGACTAAAGTCTGGTCTATAGTCTGGTCTACAGTCTGAACTATAGTCTAGTCTATGGTCGGGTCTACAGTTTAGTCTATAGTCTGGACTATAGTCTGGTCTATGGTCTGGACTATAGTCTGGTCTATGGTCTGGACTATAGTCTGGTCTATAGTCTGGACTGTAGTCTAGCCTATAGTCAGAACTATAGTCTTGTCTATAGTCTAGCCTATAGTCTGGACTATAATCTAGTCTATAGTTTGGACTATAATCTAGTCTATAGTTTGGACTATAGTCTAGCCTATAGTTTGGATTATAGTCTATCCTATAGTCTGGTCTATAGCCTGGACTATAGTCTGGTCTATAGTCTGGACTATAGTCTGGTCTATAGTCTGGACTATAGTCTGGTCTATAGTCTGGACTATAGTCTGGTCTATAGTCTGGACTATAGTCTGGTCTATAGTCTGGACTATAGTCTGGTCTATAGTCTGGACTATAGTCTGGTCTATAGTCTGGACTATAGTCTGGTCTATAGTCTGGACTATAGTCTGGTCTATAGCCTGGACTATAGTCTGGTCTATAGCCTGGACTATAGTCTGGTCTAGTCTGGACTAGTCTAGTCTATAGTCTGGACTATAGTCTGGTCTATAGTCTGGACTATAGTCTGGTCTATAGTCTGGACTATAGTCTGATCTATAGTCTGGACTATAGTCTGAACTAAAGTCCAGTACATAGTATGAACTATAGTCTAGTCACTAGTGTGGACTATAGTCTAGTCTATAGTCTGGACTATAGTCTAGTCTATAGTCTGGACTATAGTCTAGTCTCTAGTATGAACTATAGTCTAGTCTCTAATGTGGACTATAGTCTAGTCTATAGTCTGGACTATAGTCTAGTCTCTAGTCTGAACTATAGTCTCGTCTCTGGTCTGGACTATAGTCTGGACTATATTCTAGTCTATAGTCTGGACTATAGTCTAGTCTATAGAATGCACTATAGTCTAGTCTATAGTCTGGACTATAGTCTAGTCTATAGTATGGACTATAGTCTAGTCTATAGTCTGGACTAAAGTCTAGTCTATAGTCTGGACTATAGTCTGGACTATAGTCTAATCTATAGTCTGGATTATAGTCTAGTCTATAATCTGAGCTATAGTCTAGTCTATAGTTTGAACTATAGTTTAGTCTATGGTCTTGACTATAGTCTAGTCTATGGTCTGGACTATAGTCTAATTTGTAGTCTGGACTATAGTCTAATCTATAGTCTGGACTTTAGTCTTATGTATAGTTTGGACTATAATCTACACTATAGTCTGGACTATATTCTGGTCTTTAGTATGGACTATAGTCTAGTCTCTAGTCTTGACTATAGTTTGGACTACAGTCTAGTCTATAGTCTGGACTATAGTATTGTCTATAGCCTGGATTATAGTCTTGTCTATAGTATGAACTTGTCTATAGTACAGTCTGGTCTACAGTCTTGACTATAGTCTGGTCTATAGTCTGGACTATAATCTGGACTATAGTCTAATCTACAGTCTGGACTATAGTCTATAATCTGGACTATAGTCTAGTCTATAGTCTGAACTTTAGTCTAGTCTATAGTCTGAACTGTAGTCTAGTCTATAGTCTGTACTATAGTCTAATCTATGGTCTAGTCTATAGTATGGACTATATTTTTTGTAAAGTCTGGAGTACATACAAGACTGTAGTTCAGACTATAGTCCACACTTGGATTCTTATTAAGTCAGTTTGTTGCAGTGTTTTTGCAACCTTATGTTTTTATTGTGTTTATTGTGTTTTGCAATGAATGTGTTTCCTTAACCCTCTAGCAGTTGCAGTTGCACTGAAATGAAATGCTAAAAATAGCTACATGTCAACATATTTTTAATAAATTCCCACCCAAAATAGCAAAACAATCTTTCAGAAAAACGGAGATATTAGTTGGAGCAAGTGTTTTAATGTTTTCATAATAATTCCCCCAATATATGGCGGAACACTAAAAAGAGTGACAAACAAGATGCCACATTGTTTAACGTATTGATCTAGTGTACAAAGTGTGGTATCATGTTGGAGATTTTAAAGTTACCATATGATGTTAATTTAACATTTTCAAGTTGCCATATTGCTAACTATTCTTTTCATCCTTAAGTAGTGTATTTCCTTAGTCGTTTTCTTTCCAACTTTTGCTTCTAGTTTTCTTATTTTATTTATTTTTTAACATGCTAAATGTGTGTTTGTTTATTTCGATTCTCTCCCCCTATTTTCTTGAAGAGCTCTTTTTAAATTGTCATCCGTTTGCTATTTAATTAGTTCCTGTTTTATTTTTGCAACATTTGTACATTTTCTTTTCGTTTTTTTTTTTTAATTTTTCAAAATGTACTTTTATTATACCAGAGGGCGGCTTGTTGATGCGGGTTTGTTGGTTTGATGATTATAATTGAAATTTAATAAAAACAATATTGAAAATGTTTATAATAAAAATATAAGAAGAAAATTCCTTTACTGGGGGAAAAATAACAAAAGGATTTAAACATATAGGAAAAAATTCGTTCAGCATGTATGTCTAACAACAATTCTTAACATTGAATTCAAAAATAGAGTTTTTGTACCAAATAAAAACATATAAATGTCCTGCAATAGCCAGAGGGTCCTTTGAGTGGAAGCAGTAAGTGTGTATGTAGAGTGTTTGAAAGTGAAGGGAACAGGGCTGGTATTTGTGCTATAAATATTTTCTAGAAGGACACTCCTGTATGGAATAGAGCCCAAAGTGCATTCAACAATAAGATACTCTTTTGAAAATGCCGAAAAATTGTTCAGATTATAAACTGACATAGACCAGTTTACAGAGTCGGCTACAGTCAAAAATTATATGACTAGACTATGGTCCAGACTATAGACTAGACCATAGTGCAGGCTATAGACTAGACTATAGTCCAGACTATAGTCCTGGCTACAGACTAGACTATAGTCCAGACTATGGGCAAGACTATAGTCCATGCGATAGACTAGACTTTAGTCCATGCTATATACTAGACTATAGACTAGACTATATTCCATACTATAGACAAGACTATAGTACAGACTATAGTCCAGACTATATACTAGACTATATTCCATACTATAGACAAGACTATACTCCAGACTATAGACTAGACTATACTCCAGACTAAAGACTAGACTTTAGTCCAGACTATACTATAGTCCAGACTAGACTATAGTCCAGACTATAGACTAGACTAAAGTCCAGACTATAGACTAACTAAAGTCCAGACACTTCGGACTAAAGAGTAGACTATAGTCCAGACTATAGACTAGACTATAGTCAAGACTACACACTATACTATAGTCCTGACCATATACTTTAGTCTACACTATAGACTAAAGTATAGTCCAGACTATAAACTAGACTATAGTCCATACTTAGACTAGACTATAATCCAGACTTTAGACCAGACTATAGTCCAGACTTTAGAGCAGACTATAGTCCAGACTATGGGCAAGACTATAGTCCATGCGATAGACTAGACTTTAGTCCATGCTATAGACTAGACTATAGACTAGACTACAGTCCAGACTATAGACTAGACTTTAGTCCAGACTATAGACTAGACTGTAGTCCAGACTATAGACTAGACTGTAGTCCAGACTATAGACTAGACTATACTTCAGACTATAGACTAGACTATACTCCAGACTAAAAACTAGACTTTAGTCCAGACTATAGACCATACTATAGTGCAGACTACAGACTAGACTATAGTCCAGACTATAGACTAGACTATAGTCCAGGCTAAAGACTAGACTGTGGTCAAGGCTATAGCCTTTACTATTGACCAGACTATAGACTAGACTATAGAACATACTATAGTCCAGACTATAGACTAGACTATACTCCAGACTATAGACCAGACTACACTCCAGACTATAGACTAGAATTTAGTCCAGACTATACTATAGTCCAGACTAGACTATAGTCCAGACTATAGACTTAGTCCAGACTATAGACTATAGTCCAGACTATAGTCTAGTCCAGACTATAGACTATAGTCCAGACTATAGACTAGTCCTGACTATAGACTGGATTATAGACTAGACTATAGTACATACTATAGTACAGACTATGGACTAGACTATAGTCCAGACTATAGACTAGACTATAGTCCAGACTATAGACTAGACTATAGTCCAGGCTAAAGACCAGACTGTAGTCCAGGCTAAAGACTAGACTGTAGTCCAGGCTAAAGACTAGACTGTAGTCAAGGCTATTGACCAGACTATAGGCTAGACTATAGTCCATACTATAGTCCAGACTATAGACTAGACTATACTCCAGACTATAGACCAGACTACACTCCAGACTATAGACTACAATTTAGTCCAGACTATACTATAGTCCAGACTAGACTATAGTCCAGACTATAGACTTAGTCCAGACTATAGACTATAGTCCAGACTATAGACTAGTCCTGACTATAGACTGGATTATAGACTAGACTATAGTACAGACTATGGACTATACTATAGTCCAGACTATAGACTAGACTATAGTCCAGACTATAGACTAGACTATAGTCCAGACCATAGACTAGACTATAGTCCAGACTATAGACTAGACTATAGTCCAGACTATAGACTAGACTATAGTCCAGACTATAGACTAGACTATAGTCCAGACTATAGACTAGACTATAGTCCAGACTATAGACTAGACTATAGTCCAGACTATAGACTAGACTATAGTCCAGACTATAGACTAGACTATAGTCCAGACTATAGACTAGACTATAGTCCAGACTATAGACTAGACTAGACTATAGTCCAGACTATAGACTAGACTATAGTCCAGACTATAAACTAGATTATAGTCCAGACTATAGACTAGACTATAGTCCAGACTATAGACTAGACTATAGTCCAGACTATAGACTAGACTATAGTCCAGACTTTAGACTAGACTATAGTCCAGACTATAGAGTAGACTATAGTCCAGAGTAAAGACTAGGCTATAGTCCAGACTAAAGACTAGAATATAGTCCAGAGTATAGACTAGACTAAAGTCCAGACTATAGACTAACTAAAGTCCAGACACTTCGGACTAAAGAGTAGACTATAGTCCAGACTATAGACTAGACTATAGTCAAGACATGCAAAAAAATTGGTCAAAAACTCATTCAAACTTACCGATTGTGGTTGTGAAATTCTTATCTCATCCTTGATCACTTGCAAGGGATCATTGTGACCCTCACGGATAATATCATCATCAACACGAGGATCATCATTGGGAGACATAGGACCACCAAATTGTTGAATCTGATTGTTTTTACCATGATTCAATTTCCAAAGTTTAGCAATGCTACTCTGTTTGGGTTTATGGCGTATAGAGGATTCTAAAAAGTTTAAAAAATTTTTAATAGATAAATTATAAAATTTTGCAATTTATTTAAATCAGCTAACCTTGAGGATTCGATAAATAGGTAAAGGGGGGAGAACTGGTCGAATACATAGAACCGGGAGCCATTTGTAAAGTTTCACCATAAGGACGAGCCGGGCCGACACCACCAATGCCATCTATTTTCCCTATAGCAGAGGTGGCCGAGTAAGAAGGATAACCAGGACTATTGCCACTAATGCCACCACCAGGACCACCCACCGAAGGTTTCATGAGTTCTTTGCGTAAAGAATTAATGCCACCACCACGGCCACTGTTACCACGTGGTATATTAGCGGCTAAGGATTGATAATTAATGCGTCTTCTATTATCACGTCTACCCAAAGAAGAAGGTAAACGTGTGCTATCCATGTCATCATCGTAAAGAGGTAAACCACCCGATAAAAGGCCTCGAGGTATAGAGGCCACTGTCGAAGGGGGTATAATTAAATCATGAGTCCGGCCATTGCGTAACTGTTTATAGTGATGCTGTGATGTGGGTATGGTATTGTAGGTGGTATGATTTAGCAGAGGCCTTTGGGCCTCTACTTCTTTCAACGGCACCGTACTCAAAGTCAAGGTAACAAAACACAAGGTGGCCACACTGAATTGATGTTTAGCCTTAGGCGGCCTATTTAATAATGTTAAATGGGAAAATGCCATTTTGTTATAGTTTATTTTCTTTTCAATAACTTTTTGTAGTCTAAGTTGTGGGGTTTTTAAAGTTTAAGACGATTTTTCGTTTTAGAGTAGATTTTTTTTTCTTAAATTTTTATGTTTTTTAAGAAGATAGTTTTTTTGTATAGTTTTTAATTGTTTAAAACAATTGTTTTTGTTTTATTTATTTTGTATTTGTATCATTTTGCTTTAACTTTTATATTTATTACAACACTTAGGTAAGGTTTTTATTAGTATTTTGTTACAAATATTGGGATTTTTTAAAACACATCCGTTTAACCGCATTTTTGTTAAATTTTTATAAATATTTTTGTTGTTTTTGCTTTTTTTAGATTAATTTAATTAATTGTAGTTTTAGGTATAAATCTGTAAAGAAATGATAAAGAAAATTGTTAGAAATTATATAAGATTTATTAAAAATTTTAGAAAAAATATATAGAATCAAGCTGCTAGAAGAAGAATGTCTTTAAAATTTAAAAAAAGTCCCTAAACCAGAGATTTTAACAGCTAACCGAACGATTAATCGAATATTTTCCATCACCTTTTTTTACAAATTATTTGTTTACATTTTACAACATTTTTTTAAACGATTTTTTATTTTTTTTAGATTAACCGAATAATTTATTCGAATATTTATTCGATTAATCAATTACTATTTTAAGTATTTTCACAAATTAAATTTTTTAAGCATTTTTATTCAATTAATCGAATAATTTTAAGCGATTATTCAAATAATTTTAAGCGATTATTCGAACAATTTTAAACGATTATTCGAATAATTTTAATCGATTATTCGAATAATTTTAATGGATTATTTGCTGAAATTAAACAAAACTATTTACATATTTTTTTACGATTTTTCATGTTTTTCGATTAATCGAATAATTTATTCGAATAAATTACTTTGAAAATTTTAAGTATTTCCATAAATTTTAAAATAAATATTTGTTATTTTTAAGCAAATTGATTCGATTAATAGAATAATTTTGAACGATTATTCGAATAGTTTCAACCGATTATTCGAATAATTTTAATGGATTATTTGCCGAAATTAAACAAAATAGTGATATAAATTGTTTTGTTTAAAAAAATTTAATTTTTTAAATGATTTTTAATTTTTTGCGATTAATCGAATAACATATTCGAATAATTTATTCGATTAATCGATTACTTTGAGAATTTTAAGTACTTCCATAAATTTTAAAATAAATTTTTGTTCTTTCTAAGCATTTTAATTCCATTAATCGAATAATTTTAATCGGTTATTCGATTAATCGAATAATTTTAATCGATTATTCGAATAATTTCATTCTATTATTCAAATAAATAACAAAAATAACACGATTCTCAATTTTATTAGTTTTACATATTTTACAAAAATTTCGATTCGAATAATTCATTAAAATTATTATTCGAATAATTTTAATGGATTATTTGCCAAAATTAAACAAAACAATTTTTATCATTTTTTAAACGATTTTTAATTTTTTGAGATTGATCGAATATGTAATATATTCGAATAATTTATTTGATTATTCGATTGTTTTAAGTATTTTAATTATTTTCATAAATGTTAAAATAATTTTTGTTCTTTTTAAGCAAATTGATTCGATTAATCGATTATTCGAATAATTTTATTATTCAAATAAATAACAAAAAGTAACATGATTCTCAATTTTATTAGATTTACATGTTTTTGCAAAAAATTTCGATTTGAATAATACTACTCGATTATTCGCATTTTTTTAAATTTTATTATTTATTATTTTTCTACTCAAGTTTTTACAAATTATTTGTACAGATTTTACAACATTTTTTTAAACGATTATTCCAATTTTTATTCGAATAATTTTAATCGATTATTCATTTCTTTTTTTATCTTATTTTATTGTTTTCCAATTATTTTAAAAATTATTTAATTAGATTTTACAAATTACGATTAATCGAGTATTTTATTCGAATGTTTATTCGATTAATCGAATATTATTAAAATATTGTTTTTTCTTCAATTTTAAAAGCAATTTTTGTACTTCTTTGTTCGTTCTACTCATTTTGATTCGATTAATCGAATAATTTTAATCGATTATTCGAATATTTTTTTCTTAATTATCCGAATAATTTTTTCTTAAATTTTATAAATTTTGTTTAAGGAATTTTAAGTTTTTTGTTTATTTCATGTGTTTTTAGTAAATTATTCGTTAAATTTTCAACGATTAATCGATTGTTTTAATAATTATTCGAACAATTTCAATCAATTATTTGGTTCTTATTTTTTTTATAATTTTTTTCTTAAGTAAATTAATTTTTTTACAGGAATATAAATATTTTATTTATATTTTCGGAGCATGTTTATCCGATTAATCGAATAATTTTAATCGATTATTCGAAAAAATCTTTTAATGAATAGAAAAATGGTTTATTATTTATGGGAATATATTGCTTTTAATCAATTATTCAACACTACTTTAATCGGATAGTTTTATTCGAATAATTTTAAACGAATAATTTTAATCGATTAATCAAAAAATTTTGATTTTTTTTTTGTCAAAACTTAATAGATTTTCTTATGCCTTGAAGTTTTTAACGATTGTAGGGAAATTTTTACTCGAATAATCTTAATCGAATAACTTTTAAGCATTAAACATTAATTTTAATCGAATAACTTTAAATTTTTTATAAACAATTTCCAAAGAAAAATTAGTTCAAAGAAATTATTCGTATTATTCGAATAAGTTTAAACGGATAATTTTAATCGATTAATGGAATAATTTTATTTTATTTAAATTTCTTAATTTGACATATTTTCTTAAGTGGTAAAGTTTTAACGATTAATCGGTTATTTTTATTCAAATAATTTTAAGCGATTACAGTGGACGTCCAATAGTACGTACACTCTTTATTACGAATATCCAATAATACGAATGGCAAAATTGTTGCATTGTCTACTCTATAGTACGAATAAAGTCACAATTTTTCTGTTCGATAGTACGAATAACTCATTTTTTATGGGAATTTTGGTTTTATTTACGTATGAATGAAGTTTTTATTATGTTTTTATTTTATTATTTTGGTATCATTCACCTTAAGCTCAGTAATTTTGAAGTTTTTTTGTATTTATTACAAGTGTTTTGTATTTTTAAAAATCCTATACACACAATTTACTGCATGTATATTTACAAATCAACAATTATTTAGTGTTATTAATTTATTTTATTGGAATTTTGATGACCCAAGAGAAGAAATTAAATTGGATGATAACGCCAATGAGGAAAGTATTTTATTAGTTCCCGACAATAACTCTGCTGAGAACAATATTGAAGCCTCAAAAGCGCTGTTATTGAAAAAGCCGTAAGAATCATTTTACAATGTAATAAACATCGATGTTAAATGATGGATTTTTTAATAAGTAAAATGATATTTATATACATACATATGTATGTATGAACTGTTAATTTTGAAAGTAGTGTGACTCCACATTCCAAACAATGGGTTTAAGGATAACTATTCTAATTTTTAAGAGAAAATTATAAATTAGAGAATTGTGGTATATTCCATTCAAGTTTCTAATAAAAGTTTTATGTAATCTGAACATTTTAATACATTTTAGAACACATATGTAAATTGCAAATTGTCTTTGGCACACATCTTTTTAAAAACATTAAAATTTAAAACCTTCTACATATATCTCATTTCAACCATTGGACTCACAATACTTTCAAAATTAACAATTCATATACGTAAATATGTCCCTTTTATGCCTGTTTATGTACAAGAAATTTATTTAAAATAATACATATTTATTATATTTTGTTCCGTTATGTAATTTTTCATGAAAAATAAAACAAAAATAAATAAAATCCAATATTTTATGTGTATTATTTGAATTTAAACATACAAAATGTGTTGTTCAATAATACGAATTTTTCGGTATTACGAAAGGGCCTGACACTATATAATTCGTACTAGTGGACGTCCACTGTAATCGAATAATTTTTTTATAAAAAAAAATTTATTATTTATGGAATATATTGGTTTTAATGTTCAACTTAATTTAATCAACACTGCTTTAATCGTATAGTTTTATTCGAATAATTTTAACCGGATAATTTTAATCGATTAATCAAAACACTTTGATTTTTTTCAAAATTTAATAGATTTTCTTATGTCTTGAAGTTTTTAACGATTGTAGAGATATTTTTATTCGAATAATTTTAATCGTTTAATCGAATAATTTTTAAACTTTGATTAGGATAATTATAATGGAACAATTTTTAATTTTTTATCAAAAATCGCAAAAGATAAATCAGTTTGAAGAAACTATACGTATTATTCGGAGTGTTTAATCGATTAAATTTAACCGGATAATTTTAATCGATTAATGGAATAATTTTATTATTTTTTTTTTATTAAAAATTCCACATATTTTGTAATGTTTTGTAGTTTTAAATGGTTAATCGTATGTTTTTATTCGAATAATTTTAACCGAATAATTTTACTCGGTTATTGGTATAATTTAATTTTTTTTATTTTAAAATTGTACATATTTTCCAATGTCTAGCATTTTTCAAAGATTAATCGGATATTTTTAATCGAATAATCGATTAATCGAATAATTTAATTTTTTTAAATGAATAGGAAAATTTGTTTATTATTTATGGAAATACATTGCTCGTATAGTTTTATTCGAATAATTTTAATCGATTAATCACAAAATTTTGTTTTTTTTTTAAATTTAATAGATTTTCTTACGTCTTGAAGCTTTTAACTACTGTAGGGATATCTTTATTCGAATAATTTTAATCGATCAATCGAATAATTTTAAACTTTAATTAGGATAATTTTAATGGAACAATTTTTAATTTTTTATAAAAAAATTCCAAAAAAATTATTCGTTTTATTCGGAGTGATTTAATCGATTAAGTTTAACCGGATAATTTTAATCGATTAAGTTTAACCGTATAATTTTAATCGATTAATGGAATAATTTTATTTATTTTTTTTTATTTACAAATTCCACATATTTTCAATGTCTTGCAGTTTTCAAAGATTAATCGGTTATTTTTATTCGAATAATTTTAATCGATTAATCAAATAATTTTTTTTTTTTTTAATTTAATTTTTTTTATTATTTATGGGAATTTATTGCTTTTAAATGATTATTCAACATTTTGTTTTAAGAAATATTATTTAGATTATTTCATAAAAAAATCACTTTT